GCTGGAGAAACCTATGTAGTTCACAAAAGAGGCAAGAGAAGCAAAAGACAGCTTAGCTTGGAGAGCAGGGACTCCATCTGCAGTTGTTATGACTTTGGCTGCATGGTGCCTGGCACACAGTAGGTGCACGGCACATATTTGGTGAGTGAATGAACAAATACGTGGATGCTGGTGGCTTTTTTTTTTTAACAATACTACTTTCCAAATGTCTTTCCATGGCGACAAATAAATCATTTCTGATGGTTGCGTAAGAGTTACTAATAGTTCAGTTTATTGAACATTTTATCATTAAAATATTTAACTATTTAATTCCTTATTTTTGTACTGTCGGGTAGTTTTCCATTTTGGGAGATAGTAAGCAATGCTGTGAATGAATATCCTTGCACTTACATTTTTGTACATTTTTCAGATTCATTTCCCTAAAATATATGCAGGAAATAATTGCTTGGCTAAGTAGCATGCACATCTTAAGGGCTACTTATTTAGTTTTTGGATGCACACAGCCAAATGTATATCCATATCGGTAATTTATTTGTAAAATTAAGCAAACAGGATTTGCCCTTGATACAGCCTTGGGCTAGACCTACCTGTCACATCTTAGCACAAATTAACACTCCAAATCTAATTAAGTAATTTTTGTGGATTATTGTTTAAGATAAGCAAGCCACTGGATGAGATTTGAAAATCCTTTGCTTGCTTTTTATTTCCATCATCCTGTTCTGTGACTCTCTGGAGAGGATGAGCAGTGTGTCTTTGGGCCTATGACACCATGTCTCCTGCAGCTTCTACCTGCTTTGCTTCCTTTTCACCCCCCCCATAACCTCACACAGGATCTAGATTCCAAAAATACTTGTGGAATTAAGTGTTAGCAAGAGTGTGGGAAACCCAGACTTGCACACACTGTTGGTGGGAGTATTAATTGGTACAGCCACTTTGAAGGCAATTTGGCAGTGTCTATTAAAATGTAAAATGTTCATACCCTGTGATTCAGCAATTATACTTCTGCATGTCTTCTCAAGAGAAACTTTTCCACCTGTGCAGATGTTCACTGCAGCACTGATCTTAACAGTGAAAAACTGGAAACAACTCAAATGTCTGTCAATTGGGGAATGATTGAAATGGAGAAGATTCTGTTCTGTGCACTAGTTAAGGGGAATGAAATAGACCAGAGACAAAGAACTGGGTCCAGTAAACTTAATCCGGTCCAGCAGACATATCTTATTCTTATTGCACAGTATTTTTGCCCTGTATAATCTACTACTATTTTAGTAGGTCGAGTCTTGTTATTTGTTATGTTCTATATAGTCTCTGTGAATACTGAATTAGTATTACTACTAGTGGACGTGAGGATGAAGTTCCTTCCTGCAAGCCTCTGGCCACATTTTCATCAACCAATAAATACATAACCTTGTTTTACATTGTTTAAAGACACTTTATTTAATATATATTATTGATTCATTGACACTGAACTCACAGCCAATAGCACTATGCCTTGAACCTCAGTGAGGCTTATTTAACAGGTGTGTTTTCTCCATGAGGCACATCACAGCCTTTTTGCCCTTGGGAACACCAGATTACACCTCAGCACTTGATTTAGCCATTTTAAACAGTGAAATTACAAAAAAAAAAATCACAAAAATGTGACATTAACTGGACCACAGAAAGAATATTTTTTTACAGTATGAGAACCAAAACAAGAAGGCAGAGCATCCCTTTGTCCAACCTGAGCTGGGAAGGTGCATGTCAGGTGACTCAGATTTTTGCCACTCTGCCCATGTCCGTGATTGACCACAAAAAAGCTGAGATCACTGATTTTGGGGTTACAAATAAATTTTAGTGAGAAGGGGATCCATAAATATAGAATCTGTGGATAATTAGGGTCATGATATATACCTTTAAAATATAAGGACTCTTTTAAAAACATAACCCCCATTACCATGATTACTTCTAGATTCTTTAGTATTATTGAACATCTAGTCAATGTTTGCATTTTTCCAATTAGCTTTTTAAAAAATTATGAACCCATGAATTTAAACATATTCAATGCATTTAAATTTATTGCAATGATTATTCTTATTAATTTTATTATTATTTTTAAAGATTATTATTATTGATGCTCAGATTGCCCCATCTTTGGCCGATGGGAACCTTTGCAAGTTGGGATAACCCCATCAGTCTGAAAATTTTCTTGTTTTCTGATACTATTAAATGTTTTAGGCTCCTCGTTTGTTTCCTGTACCAGACTTGGAATTAGCTATTCCTCCAAGCACATTTGGTTCTTTTTGGTGAGAAATGGTATCTACAGACCCCAAAATGAGCACTAAGGGAACTCATTGCCCTCCCGAGAGGGCCAGGTATGCACAGAGGACCTGCACACAGCACCTGGACCATGACCCATTGTTGTTTCCAGTGTCTTGTGTCTCAGGGGGAAAGAACTAGGAAATATGGATAGTTATCTATCTATATCTATCTATATTTATCTATCTATCATTTACCTATTTTCTATCTACTTATCATCTATCTATTATCTACCTATCTTCTACTTATCATCTATTATCTATCTACATATCATTTATCTATCATCTATCTATCTATCATCATAAAATACATTATGAATTTGAACTAATGCTTCCTTTTCAGTTTCAAGATTACATGGTTTTTACTTAAACTTTTCCAACGTCTGCATTTCCTTCTTCCCACACCCAAAATCTTTGTTCTCCAAAATAGCATGGATGATAGAATTGGAATATTATGTAATTATTCAACAATTTTATCCTACATTACTCATGTATCAGTCTTAGAATTCCAAACCCACACACTCCCACCAGCAATATTATTATTGAAACAGTTACTTTCTGTTGTTGTTTTTATAATTCTTTTTGTACTTAGGATATATTCCACTAAAAGTATGTAGTCCAATTACTATAGCTTCTGTGTTGTTTTGTCACCCAAGTGGATATACAGTTAGGCTCACTTAATTCCTTTTGTTTTTTCATATCTGGGGATTAATATTTTAAAGTTTAATTGTCTTAAAATTATATAAAAAATTACATAGCATTAAAGATATATCTAAAAACCAAAATATGTTCAAATAAGTCTAGCTTCTCTCTCTCTCTCACCTATTCTGTACCTTCTTTTCCCCTATAGACAACCCTTTAAAATGTTTGTGTGGCTTATTTTCCATTGAAAAATTTAATTAATATTTAATTAATCTGTATAAAATATATCTATATATCTCCTCCTTTCTTACAGAAATAGTAGAATATGATACACATTTTTCTGCACCTTAGTTTTTTTTTTTTAAAAATCATTTTAGCAATGTAAGTTGGAACTCACTCCAGAGTAGATGATAGAAATAGTCTTCATTCCTTATCATATGGATGTATCGTAATTTTTTCAATCAGTCCCTGATTGTGGCATTTTGGTTGTTTTCTGCCTTTCCTATTACAATTGGTACTGCAATTAGCGACCTTGTGCATATATCTCTTTTGTAGTTTTGGCAATATATGTTTGGGATAAATTCCAAGAAGTATGATTATTGGATCAAAGGGTAAATGAATATGCGATTTTACTAAATATCTCCAAATTCTCTCCATAGGGGTTACATACACCATTTTGCATTCCCTCTAGTGATATATGAAAGGGTCTGTTTGGCCAAAGCTTCACCAAGAGAGTATATTGTTGAACTTCTAGATTTTTATTAGTCTTTTGGATAGAAAGAGAAATGATATCTCAGTTGAGTTTTAATTTGCATTTTTGTTACTACTGCTCAGTTTTCTGAGAAAAATAAAATGTATTGAAAACATATAAAATAACACATTTCCGAGGAACATCTGAGTCTCCATCTCTCTTGAAACATTAATTCAGCAGTACCAAATCAACATTTCCACGTGGCATGACTAGTTGAGCTGAGTACCAGCTATCCCCTTCAGATGGGCATATATTTTCCAGTTTAATGTAGACTTCACTTTACCTCTTTACAGGGTTATACTACCTGACTTTCCCTGTCAACATTTGAATTTGTCAGCCCATTTCTTGACCTGGAAAGTTGGTGTATCAGTTAGCTATCGCCACAAAAATTCTGTGTAACAGTCACAAAACCGCAGTGGTGTATGACACTGAGCATTTATTGCAATTGCATGTGTGGTGGTTGGCTAGGAGGCTCTGCTGATGTTAGCTGGGCTCATTCACATGGCTGGGGGTTTGGTTAGCTATCAACCGATCTAGATTGTTCTTGGCTATATGGTTATAGAACCATCTGAAAAGTGTGATCCCATATATGTAAAACAGTATGCACTGGATGGCATGCTTCTTGTCTAGCTACTGCTCACGCCATGAGCCCTCACTGTCAGGTTTATGGTTGGGGCCTGTGTCCTATTGAGACCCATATGTCCTATTGTTGCTCTGGACCTTCCTAATGGCCCAATTCCCCCCCCCCCCCCGCCGCCCCTTGACACATTCCCAGCAATCTAGTCTCAGGCATTTGCTCAGTATCAGAAAGGACTTTTTCTTCTCCCCAGGTCCTTTTAGCTCTGTCAAAGATGGGAATGTACTCTGGTTCTGCATGAAGGATGTGGTGGGGGATGAAAAATATAAGTAGTAATGTTGGCCTTGATGGAAAAAAGACTGCACACCCCAAGAGAAAAGCGAATTCTGCCAGGAAACCACATATAGACTCAAACTGTAAGTCTTCCCTGGGTCTCCAGCCTGCTGGCCTACCCTGCAGATTCTGGACTTGCTAAGCCTCCTAAGTTGTGTGAACCAATTCTGTAAAATCTCTCTGTCTAGACACACACACACACACACACACACATTCTGTTGGTTCTGTTTCTCTGGAAACCCCTAATACAGAATGTTGGCAGGGGAAGAGTTTCCAACCTGGGTTGTTGCTTGTTTTCTTTTAAACTAACTTAAAATTAAATACATCTCACCGCTGTGAGAATTAATTTCCTTCAATGTTATACAAAAAGATGACTTTCTTACATAAACAAAATGCTGACTTTATTTCTTGTCAATTATAGCTTTATTCTTAGGGTTCAATTCCTTCTGAGTTGCACCATGGAGATTTCTGGTTTTAACTGACAATGCAGGGTCTCAACTCTGGATAAGTGTTCTGTAATCTTTAGGTTGTTCTCCCTCAATGGTGGATTGAAAGAGGTGGTGAAGTGGTAAAAGGACCAGGGTGAAAAGAAGTCTCCTTGCCTTGCCACAACCTTTAGAGAGTGGTTGTGGTTATGCCGCCAAAAGATTTAGACCTTCCTTAAGCACCATTTGTTCTCAGAAATTGTTCTGGGCTCTGGGATGGGTTTGGTTTAGGCCAAACCCAATAATGGGGATGGTACATTTTTGTCTCATTTAATCTACCAGAATTTACTATCAATCTGGGACTCTGTAGTAGAAGGCTCTGTGTGTCCTGGAGATGCTAAGTTTTGTACAAATGGCAGCACTGACATATAGGTCTTGACTCGCCCTTGAGGATCCCTGAGAGCGTGTGAGAAAGATCTCAGTAGCCAGACTTGGAAAAGGAGAGGAAGTGAGAGGGGATATCAGCCTGCTGGTGTGTCAGGTACTCTAGACTCTAGGGTTTTCAAAGCAGCCGAGGCTGGGATGCTTGGCTTCCTATCACATGATTTTGCAAATATTCCATGGAGTGTTTGTTCTAAATATCCTTTGATTTGGCAGAAACACCTTTGCATCACAAGGAACTGGCAGCTGGAAGAACTGAAGGAACTCTGCAGTGAGGGCTGATTTCTTAAATGCTCATAAATTCTGCATGCTGTGGAAACAACAAAACACATAACAAACATACACTCTGAAAATCTTCTTATGAATCCTCTTCAGTCTGTGCTTCTGCAGAAAACAAGGGTATCATCTGAAAAATAAATAATCACATAGTCTCCTAAACCCACAATGGGTGAGTGAGACTGCTGGGCTTGACTCTTCAAATTTGGGTCTTACTCCCCAGGTTCCACCATTAAAAGCCCAGTAAGCAGTGGGGTGAGGGGCAGTAGGAGAGAGAAGGAGGAGAACAGTGGTAACGCCAGTCTCCTAGAGGAGCCACTGCTCTTCTTTGGGAAAAGAAACTGACATGAGGAAGGTGAGAACAACAGTGAGCCATCGTGGCATAGGGGTGCTTGAGCCAGACACACTTGGGTTCAAGTCCAAGTCCTACTGCTTACCAGCCACGTGACTGGAGATGAGTCATCTCATGCCCTGACCCTTAGTTTCCATATGTGTGAGATGATAATCATAACTACCTCAGAGTTGTGGGCAGGTCAAGATCATGTATATGAAGAATATGGCACAAACTCAGTCTTCGTAAATGTCAGTTGTTTTTGTTGCTTCAGTTTTTATCACACATCAGGTTGTGGCGCTGAGCAAGGCTGATGGGCAGCCATTTCTACCCTCTGTGAGGGGTGGCGAGTGAATCAGTAGGAGGGTGGGGCTGAGAGTTGAATTCTTGGCTCCTGGTCCATGGCTCAGTCTAATGAAAGGGCCAGATTCTTGATAAACCATTGCCCGAATGATTGGAGCAACGGAACCTGCCCTGGGGACAGGTATGTATTTTGTTCTTTGACCCCTGGCCACCCTGCTCAGGAGAGGCAGCTGATCACGGGGCAGCCTTGTTTATCTGACCTCTGCTTATCTGGGCCATGGGTTTATCTGGACACAGAGTCCTTGCCTGGTTCTCTTGTGTCTCTCCTGCACTCCCTTCAGGACAGAGAACCCCCTGGAGATGCTATGTCTCTATTTACAGAGACTTCTCTGGCCTTCCTAGGACACATTTCTCTTAGATTATTCAGGGGTGTGCGTGTGTGCGCCTGTGTGTGTGTGTGTGTGTCCCCTAATTCAGATTAATAGGAGGTCTGTAAAGTGAAAAACCCATAAAAGAAAATGAATCCGAGACAGTAATCAGGGGCACCTGGGTGGCTTAGTCACGTTGAGCATCCAACTCTTGGTTTGGGCTCAGGTCATGATCTCATGGTTCGTGGGATTGAGCCCCACATCGGGCTTCACACTCAGTGCAGAGTCTGCTTGAGATTCTCTCCCTCTGCCCCTCTCCCCAATCTCTCTTTCTCTGTATCTCTAAAATAAATAAATCTTAAAAAAAAAGACAGTAATCACTTCACGAAGAGTCTCTTTTCCATCTCTCTGTCTCTGTTGTTTCTGTTCTTCTTTAATTTCTCCATTGTTTAGATAAACTTGGTGCTAATTCCAACTATGGCATCATGGTAAAATCTTGGCTTTTCCATACTACCTGTGAAGTTTATATCAGGGTCATCTTTCCTTATAAAATGGAATGATGTTGAAGAAGTGAGCTACCCAATGTGACAGCAACATGGCATACTGGTAAAGTTAACAGATTTAGGTACAGTTGGCCTGATCTTGTGTCCTGGCCCTGTGACCTGCAATAAATTCCTGACCTGCTTTGAGCCTTAGTTTCCTCATATGCGTTAAGTGATCTTGGTTTTCTTACTTTTTGTATATGCCTGACATTTTTGTAGTATTTTTGTCCTGGTTGAAATTAGAATTGTGATATGTTCTGAAGGTGAATAAGAACTGATCATCAACATTGAAATGTTAGGTCATTATTTATAACCGTGCCTTGGAATCTTCTGGGTCATGTCAGGCTGTCAGGGAAAAGGCCAAGATCTCCTAAGGTTTTATATTGGGCAAGATTGAGAGGAACTAAAGATTTTTAGATAAGGAAAGATAAATTAATGTCCCTTACCTTTGAGATCAAGAATCAGAGTAATGAAAGAATAAAGATCCCACGCTATGTGGAGTGTACAGCATGACAACACGTCATTCTCCACAGTCCTGGGAATACCCATCCAACCCAGACCTGCTCCTTCTATGCTTGTGTTGCTCAAAAAGAGCAAGAATGGGGGTGCCTTGGCTGGCTCAGTTGGGGGAGAATGCAACTCTTGATCTAGGGTTTGTGAGTTCAAGCCCTGCATGCTTGTAGAGATTACTTAAATAAATAAAACTTAAAAAAAAAAAAGGAGCAACAGTGGGGCCACTGATGGCCAGGTGCCTAGGACAAGTCTGCTGAGAGCTAGAGTTTGATCCCACAAGGCCACTGTCCTTGCACCAGCAGTGTCCTGAGGCTGTGGAGAGCCTGCTGTTTGAGAAGTCCTGTGTTGTGTGGTAGGATTGTGGGGCAACTGAGAGAGTTTCACAGCCTTCCCTGTTGGATTGCGTCTCCCAATAACCCACCCCTGTGGTAAGACCCTGGGGGATGGGCCGTTAATGGGAATGGAAGGGTGCTGGACATGAACTCCAATGGACCTGGGTTGAATCTATGGCAAAATGTATGGGATGGCCAAGACTATGAGAACTCTGAGTTTGGTGAACACCAGTGACCCTGAAAGAGTCCCAGTCTCCCGATAGATTTCAGCATATGTGATGAAGCTAAATTCAAGGAAGAAAAAAAGCAGAGGTTCTTGGATTCCAGGTGGCTTGTACAAAGTCTTCTTCAAAAAGGCTCTGTTACACTGTTTTTGGTGTGGGGGTTTCCGATCCCAGAGGAGGTGCCCTAGTACTCCCACCCATAGCTCCTTAACCTGGGGGTCCATTTGGGACATATGTCGAAGGGGACACAAAATAAGTATAATAGAAGTACCCTGTAAACAATGCCCTTTATGCAACTTTAAGCTGTTGTAACCATTATCATTACATTGATCTTCAATGGAGTGTTTTTATTCATCTTAGATGGAGTATACAGAAACTACCCCCTGACAGGTGGATGCAAGTTCTTATCACTGTTCCAAGAAGAAAATTCTCCCAGGAATATGCTTTATGGAACCTTTCCCGGTGATGCCATTTTCCTCTGTTTACTGGTAAAGCCCCCAGAGCAATATTATCCCCAAGACACCTTAATGTGGATAATATCCAATCTCTTATTCCTTTAAAAAGGCAAAGACTCTTGGTAGTTTGCCTGCTGTGTGGTGTGTGTGTCACACTTTATCATCGTTACTGAGCCCTGTGAGTTTAGTAAAAGAGGAGATTCCTGTGCTGGCAAAATGAGAGATCAGACATTCTAAAACCTTTCTGTTACAAACTACTAACAATGCTAGATAAAACATGAGAAACATAATTTTATATGCAAGATGACCTTGCAAGAAAATGAAGAGGTCATTAGACATTAGGGACGAAGTGGGAGAGGGAATGCAAGTATGTGAGTGAGCACGGATGTTGTTGGCTGTCTGGAGGCACCTGAGACCACAGACATGAATGGAAGCAAGAGACTGGGCTTGGCAAGAGTTGGAGTCTTCTTTCCACTCCATGTGAAGCTATGATCCACAAAGGTCTACACTCTCAGTGAAAACATAAACCAGGAAAAACCCTCCTTGCAAAGGGATAATGCAAGGAAACTTGTCTGTCCCAGCTAAGTCTTGATCCTGAGTACAGGGGGAAAGAATCCTCTGTGAATCTGTGGACCTGGGCGGGCCCCTGAGTGGGGATGGTGCCTGAATACCATTATATGCAAGGTTTGAAATAAACAACCTGAGAATTTTTAATTTAACACAGGCCCAAGAGAGTCAAGCCCCCAACACCTGAAGAAGCAAATGGAGATCCTCTCCAGACTCAAATAATTCCCCCTGATGTAATTCCTATGATTCTGGACTCATGATAAAAACAAACTGTACAACTTACAAGGAGACAAGGTGCCTTGAGAAAGTCAGTAGGAACACCTGTGTAGGAAAATCTCTTCTGTTTCTCAGTACTCTTAGTGCCCTCAGTACTTCTCTTCTGGTCACCAAAGGTGTGAGGCTCTTCCCATACCAAGCAATTCTCCAATGCCAGATGGGGGTCCTACAATTTAACTCAAGTCTGACACTGTCTACCTGGGGATAGCGTCAGAGCCCACAGGTCAAGGAATATGTCCCTTAAGACCACCTCCCCCTACCACATAGGTCAGACGCCAACGGCAAGTCCTGGTGGTCCCTTGTGTCTCTGACCAACCAACTATAAATTGGAGGTTCCTAGGACCCCCTTCTTGGGCTCGATCATTTGTGGGGGTGGCTCATGGAACTCAGGAAAACAATTTACTCACTAGATCACAGGTTCATTTTAAAAGGATAGAACTCAGCAACGGCCCGATGGAAAGGATGCATAGGGCAAGGTGTGGGGAAAGGGTGTGGAGCTTCCTTCCACATCTACACCATTCCCCTGACACCCCAACCCAGAAGCCCTCCTACCTTTTCCATGAGGGTTTTCTACAGAGGCTTTATTACATAGGCAGGCTTGATTATGTCATAGGCCATTGGTGATTGATTCAGTCTCCAGCCCCACCCCGCTCCCCGGAGGTTGGCGAAGGCGAGAGGGTGGGTCTGAAAGTTCCAGGCCCTTAGTCACCTGGTGGTTCCTCTGGCAACTAGTCTCCATCCTTGGGGATTTTCTAAAACTCATTTCCTTAATTTAGTAAACTCAGGTGTGGTTGGAAGAAATTTGTTAGGAGTAACAAAGACACCTTTATTTTTCTTATCACCTGGGAAATTCCAAGGGTTGCAGGAACTCCATCCATGCCAGGAAGGGATGAAGATCAAATACATTTCTTATGAATCATAATATCACAACGACATACCTGACAAAAGACTCAGTAAATCCTCGGAGATGAGAATTATCAGATACAGAATATGAAAGAAATATTCCTACTGTTTTTAAAGAAATAAAAGAAGGAATTGAAAAAAAAAAAGGAATCGAAAATATGAACAAAGGAGTAAGAGAGTAAAAATGGCCAGAAGGAACTGAAAAATAACCAATTTGTACTTCTGGAAATGAAATGAAAGCCTAACAATGGAAATTTACAAACCGATGGCAATTAACAATGGAAATTTGAAACTCAGTGGGTGTGTTCAACAGCATATTTAGGACTGCTGAAGCAAGAATTAATGAACTGGAAAAAACATGAAGAAATCACAAAGAATGTGGTACAGAAAGGTATCGATTATGAAGTTACACACAGTCTGGTTTGAGTCCTAATTTGTCTGAGAGAAAGGGAGAGACAATGGTCAAAGAAGCAATTGCAGAGAACTTCCCAGGATAGATGAACGACACCTAAGATGCCTTACCTGTAAATGGGGACAGGGATTTCTGCCTTGCCGAATTATGGCGATTAAATAAAATAAGAGATAAGAAAATACTGAATATACTATCATTAGACTGTATAAATTTCAGCTCAGTTCTGCTCCTCAAACAGTGATTGAGCACATACAATTATAGCTACCACATACAACATTTGCTAAGTGAGGCAGCCTTCTAAGCTGTCAGCTTCTCTAAGTGTGCTCCTTGGACCAGCACCACTGGCATAATCCAAGAGTTCGTAAGCCAGATGGTTTCTGGGGCCCCACCCCAGACCTGCTCAATCAGAATCTGCATTTTAACAAGATCCCCAGATAATTTGTATGCACATTACAGTGTGAGAAACACTGATCTAAGCACATGAATTAATTTATTTAATCCTTAAAACAACTCTTTGATTCAAATCCTGACTCTAAAGCCCTCACCCAGTCTTGGAGTCCCGACACCCAGCACAAGGTCTGGCTTGAGGTGCTGGTCCTGAATAAACATACATTTTGCTCTTTTTCCCATCTGGAAGGTGAGGAGATTACTGCCGAGGGCAAAATTAGGTCCGGGGAGGGTCTACCTACCACAGGGTTCAGGGGCAGTTGAACCTTGTGTCCCAGGGCTTTATCTAATTCAAGTTTACAGTGCAATGGAGTGAGAACTTGGAGTTCCTTAACCCCGAAGCCCTGCAGCCATTTCGAGTCCCGTCTATTTACTCAGTTCTTGCAGAGGAAGAATTAAGAGTTAGAATAAAGAAATCACCAAGGCTCGGTGACCCAGTCTTTCCTTTTGATAGGTGGGCATATTTATGACCGCAAAAGTAGCCACGGGCACCCTGGATGGGGGTACAGCCTTGAGAGCCAACAGCCTGGGAAGACCTGGCATCATTTGCAAATTGGTGGATGTGTTTCAGGAAAGCCCTTGCTCCACTTCTGGGTGCCTCGGCACTCACCCAGAGGGAATCATTAATCAGCCCGATCGCCTTAATTAAAGCTCTCCAATATTTCAGTGGAGATTAATATCTATGTGCAGAGAGCTGAAGTTTCAGCTTTAAATGCAATAAGCTCAAAACTCTGAGTCACACATGCTCTAAATTCCATCAGCCCCTCCAGGGCAGAACAATGCAGAGGATGGCTCGGAAGGTCTTAGGGGGACTTGGTGTGCATGGAATAATTATTGCTACTAAATACCATTACTACTGCCACCATCCTACTAATGTTAGCCACTAACAGTGGCTGTGTCCCAGGCACTGTGCAAAGTTCTTTGCCTGCATTATCTCTTAATCTTTACAACCAGCCCATGGGGTAGGACTTATTACCCTATTTTTCAGATGAAACAGTTGAAATTAAGTAACATGCCCAATAGCAGAGCTTGTGAATGTCATTGCTGGGATCTGAATATACTTTTAGTTCATGTCCTCAAACAACCTCCCAAGATGCTCGGGTTTTCTTATGCTTCTCTCACCTTTGGGGGTCCCATGACATTCCCGTAGAGTCCTTCCCAACCCTTTAATTGGCAAAGGGATTACAGCGGTTGGAATGTTTCCTGCAGGAAACATCTGAGTATGTCTCTATCTGGCTGAAACTATCAGGAAATACGTCACCTCATGCTCCTGGCTCCTGGACAATGGTCCGGAGGAAGGTGGGCATCAGAGAGGAAGATGGATATCATCACAGTGGCTCTGGCCCTCAGGGTAGGTGGGACCAAGAAAGCCCTCTGCAGACATGACACTTGAGTGGAATCTGAGGGTGAATGGGAGGGAACCAGGAGGAGGTGGTTAGAGGCAGTGGGAACAGTCAGGGAAGAGATGACGAGCGCCATAGAACTGGACCATGTTCAGCCTGGTGGAGTGTGGCACTGGGCACAGGACGGCAAGGAGAGCTGGCTGGGGGCAGATCATACAGGGTCTTGAATGTCATGGATTTGGAACTCATCTGGAGGCAAGCCCTTTGTGGTGGCATGGAGACCCACAATCACGTTAGCTTTGCAGCAAATGGATTGGCGAGGGAGAAGCTAAAAGCACCAAGACAAGAAGGAGGCTGTAGTAGTAGTAATTCAGGAAGCACTGGGGAGGGAGGGAAAGAGAAATGAACACATTTGGATGTGATTTAGGAAATCCAATCGATAGGACTTGGTGATTGATGCATAGAGGGATCTGAGGGTGTTACCAGGTCTCTGGCTTGAGTGAGTGGGGACAGATGGGGAAGGTAGGGGGAAGAACCAAATAAAGGACACTGTCCACCTGACAGGGGGTCTGATGGCTCCAGCTGCCTGTCAGGAAAAGCCCCAAGGTTAGCCTTCATGAAAATGCAGATCTGAGGCTGGGGCAGAGCTGCTGATCGGAACCTCTGCGCTCCTCTCTGTGTCCTGGATGAGGATGCTTTGGCGAGCAGGACAGAGCAAAGCCGCACACATATGCCAAGTGGACGAGCCCACAGATGCTGATAATTGGTATTCTAGTAACCCGGACGGTCAGCAGGGGGGCTTTTATCTGTGTTTTTGTGGCATTTGCTTGGGGTGACTCAGAGCGATTTGAATGTCTTTGCTGCTTGCAGATGTGGCTGCATGGTAATGCATTCCTTTGTCTTGTCCAAATATTAATAAAAATACTTTGCATAGAGCTGTATGCGCCTTTCTGGAAGGTCTGAGGTCTTTGAACAGGTTCTGGCTGAGGGAGAATTGATCTCTGTGGGGGAGAAAGCTATATCCCTGTGTCACACACCAAGTCCCTCGGCTGAGGGTTTCAGAGCTGTTGGTGAAGGGACGGTGAAGGGACTGCTTTTTCAGAGGTGATAGCATCTCCTGAGGCGGCTCAGCTGTGGTATCAAGATTGGGAGCCTCTGACTCCCACTGAAGCTGATTCTCCCTCTGCCCCTCCCCGCTCTCATGTACTCTCTCTCTCATTCTCACTCTCTCAAAATAAATAAATAAATCTTTTAAAAAAAAAAGAAGCTGAGCCTGGAAAGACCGAATTATACCCACCTGAGGTGGAGCTGGGCTTAATCACAAGGAGCTTGGTTTCTTCCCGATGTCCAGGCCACTCACTACTTCTGATTTTGGACAAAGGGGCCCTGGGTGAAGAAGTGGAAAGAAATGCCAGGGTAGGTGTGTGCTTTTGCTCACCCCTCTTATGTTCAAAAAAGCCCCTGGAGGCAGACATTCTCATTCCACTTGGAGATGAGGAGCTAGAAGCCAAGAGAAGTTAAGACCTTGCCCAAGACCACACATTGAGAGCTAGCGCTGTGACCTCACCCCAGGGCAGTCTGATTTTTCCCTTCTTAATAAGATACAAAGAAGACAGAAGAGAACATCCACAGGGTTCTAGGGGGACATTTCTGATTCTTCGTGTGGAATGCACACAACACCTCAAAGTTCTACCCAAACCCCAGGGAATCAGCAAGGCTCTGCTGAGCTAATGGAAGCCATGAAAATTAATGGCAGAGTCAGGTCCAAAGTAGCCACAAGGGGCTAATCAAAGGCCAAATCTAACAAGATGATATGGAACGTGTGTTATATATTATTAGTCAGATTCTTGAAAGTAACGTCCAGTAGACGTGCCCATGCATCGCAGAGGTGTTTTGCATTTAGTGAGCTCAACTACCCAGTCAAGTAGGCACTGTTATCCCATTTTACAGACAAGGGAACT